CTGTCTGTACCTCGGGGTCCTGCCGTGCACGCTCAGCTGGTGTCTGCACCCTCCTCTCTGTAACTCGGGGTCCTGCCGTGCACGCTCAGCTAGGTCTGCAGTACTCCTCTCTGTAACTCGGGGTCCTGCCGTACACCGCTCAGCTGGTGTCTACAGCCCTCCTCTCTGTAACTCAGGGTCCTGCCGTGCACCCCTCAGCTGGTGTCTGCAGCACTGCTCTGTAACTCAGGGTCCTGCCGTACACCCCTCAGCTGGTGTCTGTACCCTCCTCTCTGTAACTCAGGGTCCTGCCGTGCACCCCTCAGCTGGTGTCTGCAGCACTCCTCTCTGTAACTGAGTCTCTGCCGTGTGTTCATTTCTTTCACAGCCCAGCTTCCAAGAGGAATGCAAGTTCAGAGAAACCCTCCTGCCCAACAACTACAACGCCTATGAGTCGGACGTGCACCGAGGGACCTACATCGCACTGAGCAAATACGGAAGGGTGAAGCGAGGCAGCAAGGTGTCCCCAACCATGACCGTCACTCACTTCCTCCCCAGGATATAAGGACACACCAAAGCAGGCTCATGGGTTGGAAGCAGCATCTTTTCTATCGGAATTTTGCACACGTGAACAATTCCCCTTTCCCCCCGTGACTTCTGAGTCAGGCTTATCTTGTGCTTGGGGACACTCGATCTGATTCCTCTGGCTACCCAGCCACGTGGTCCCTAACCCCAGTGAGGGGTTGCAGCCAGCATCTTAGGATGACAGCGGATCCTGTGCTCTGACGTCACCTGAGGAAAGAAGGTCCAGATGACGCCTGTGGAATGAGGCCAGGTGGATAAGAGAAGGCCCGGCGTGAGTACATGTGTACCGGTGTAGAACCAGCGATCCACCTTTATATACGCCCTCAGAGCAAAGGCATTTCAAAGCACGGGGCTGTGCCCTCCACGTATCATGGCTGCAGGAAGGCCTCCTGTCGAACCGGCAGGACTGACGTGTGCTCTCTGTCTCTTGCCTGTCATCTTTCCATTCAGAGGCCACGAGCTGCATGGGCCACCTGGGTGGTGGAGGGCAGCTGTCCTCACAGTCCAGAGAGGACAGAAGGGGAGGGTGTGTGGTTTAATTGCAAACCGGAAAGTGAGTGCTTAGGTGCTTCCTGCCTGGGATGGCTCTGGGACACTGGGAGGCACCGTAGGGGAAGCTGAGGGAGAAAGGGCTCCCTTCTTGGAGGGAAGGGGTGCAGTGGTGTATGGGACAGTTGAGAAAGGTCTGCTGGAGGCAGTGGACCCAACCGGATGTTCTGTGGACAGCCAGTCTGCCTGGAGGACTTGATGCTGTGTAGCTCCAAGAACAGGCAGGGCCAGGCTGCCTGCCCATAACTTTTCCTCACTTTGAACCGGGTCTTATTTTAAGTTCAGATGACAAGGATCCTAATAATGGCAACCCCTTTGGCAAGGGGTGGCAGAGTGGGGTGCAAAATAAGGCATGAAGGAAGCAGAGAGGCTTTGGACGACACATGATAATTCCTCTCCAACTATGTCCAGGAAACTCACCCAAGTTCTCATCTGATCCTCTCATTTCCTTCTTGGTCATCCTCGGCTCCCATACACACCATGGCCTGGATGCAGTAGAATGAGCACCCTGACCTCCAGAGTCTGCCCCCTCTCACTCCCTGCGGCCAGAGAGGAGTGATAATCCCGTGAAATCAAGCAGCCAAGCAGAGCAGCTCCTTGATGTACAATACTTCTTGACTCCTGTCCTTTGAGATTCTTTAAAACAGAAGTTCCCCAAGTGACTATGAGTGTTGTCTGCCTGGGGCCTTCAGATTCTCGAGCCACTGGAATGTTCCTAAATCTGAAACCAGAGAGAGTCATATCGGAGTGCAAATATTTTTGGCATATGTGAACCACTGGGCTGCGAAGTGACCTGACACACACTGGCACTCTCGGGGCCCCAGCTGCAAGACAATCCCTCATCTGTCACAAATACCTTCACCTTCAACATACTCTGTGTTCACAGATGCATCCGTCTATAGATAGATCAGGCTGAGGGATTCTCGTCTGAAGACGGAGGTCGGCAATCTGAGTGGGAGACAGCACACTGGCCGCCGCCTCTGCCCTGAAAGCACCAGGGAGGACGGAGGTGGGTGAGGAGGAAACCCCACACCAAGGTGAATTACAACGGAACAGACGATACGAGCTCAGGAGCGTGTGTGGACTTAGTCAAACCCTGGACGGCAACTAGAAGCAGCTGGGTCGTGGATCAAGGGGAAGAGGGAGAACTCACCCAAGCTCTCATCTGATCCTCTCACTTCCTTCTTGGTCATGCTCGGCTCCCATACACACCGTGGGCTACGAAATGACTGACACACAGTCCGTCTCAACTGCTTGGAATACTGAAGTGAGGTCTCCTTGGAGGCAGGGACGGGCTGATCGTTTAGAAGTCTTGTCCAGTGTAATCAATCTCTTTTAACAGGATAACTCAGAAGGTCACTCAAACGGTGGGCTACATGTCCATTCCCAATGGTGCCGAGAGGGTAGAAAGGTGGGGTGGAGGCTTGGGATTTGTTCTAGATAGGAGAAAGAGGCATTACTTCCTTTCTTCCCAGATATTTGAGCTAACTTGGCACAAGAGGAAGCAATCAGTCTGCAAGGCTTGGGCAGCGAGACCTTTCCTGCATCTCTCGAGAGCCTTGTAAAACTGTTCAAATCCTGCCAACGAGTTTCTCCAACTGTCCGCTCCAATTGGTCATGGTAGGCCTGAGAAGGAGAAGCTATAGAATGCCCAGATCAAGTAGGATTGCTATGCAGCCATTACACAATGGTAGCTGCACACTGATTATCTATTATCTATGACTGATTATCTATGGCGTTGGTTATGAGGGGGCTGGCCATCTCTGTCCTAACTGGTACCAGGGCCATGCTGTACTAGTTGCTAAGTATTTTCAGTATCACGCCTGGATGTCGTGACACATGGTTGATGCTTTCAAATTCTTCACATGCAAAGGCACACTCTCAAAGACTCTGTCTTTGACCTGTAAGTGATTTGGGCTTAAGAAAAAATGCATCTCCATCCTCAGAAGTTGGTTAAAGAGCAAGAATGGAGTAAGATCAGGAAGGGGCATCATTTTAGTTCCTTTTCTCCTACCAATGTATCTACGCACAAGTGTGGACAGTTGTTTTTTATCTGGACATATGTCCACTGTGTCCTGAATTCTGCTGTTTACCCCACTGGATCCAAAAGGCTACAGAAGATGTTGCTATAGGCAGGGAATCCAGAATGAATCACATCTCCCTGCTGAGGCTGTTCTGAGAATGCCCCAGGTCCTGCCTCCCTTACATCCTGAGCAATGACCCTGGTTTGTAGGGTTTTGTAGCTAATTGGCATCTCCTGTACCCTGAACCTTCTCTGGCAGCTCCATGTAAACATGGAGTTCTAGGAGCCAAGAGGTTGTCTTATTCCCTCATGAGAGGAAATGAACAGAGCAGCCTTTCTGCACCCCTTAAAGAGGGCCGAGAAGAGAGCTGCTCAGAAGCAAAGCAGGCCTCCTGTAACGTCTCCACCTTCTTTGGGGCAACAGATGGACCTCACAGGAAACCAGAAAGCTCCGCTCACCTGTCCAGGCTGTCAGTTATGTTTGTTTCATCATTCATGGTCTTCTAACACCCCTTCCCTTCCCACTTCCCATACATTTTTGAATCTCCCCTGGAAAGCAGCATATAATTTTGTAATTAATACCCTATTGTTACCCAGCACAGCCTTCCCCTCTGCCGCCAACTCCCACAATACCTCCAGCACACACGCACACCCTTGCTCACAATCCAGGCCCTTGGTCAGGGCCATCCCGTGGCTTAAAAAAGAAAACATTTTTCTTGTCATCTGATTCAGGGTGCAAACCTTTCTCCTCTTGAGATTCGTAGGTTCCCCTCTAGGTCTGAGAGTCTCTCCTGATGCCAGTTTTGTCCTGAGCAGTTGCCATCCTCATTCCTGCACTGGCTCTGGGTCTCTTTCATGATCCAAGACCTCACATACTCCAAGTGCTCACTCTACGCCAGTCCAGAGAGAAGAAGGACGTAGAAGCATCCGTGAGCCGCGGTTCTCCTTCCTCCTGCTTGACGCCCATGTGTGCCACAGCCACCGTGCAAACGCACCTATCAGACGCAGCTGCTGGTCTCTGAGACACCCGGGTACCCTCACTACCCTTCTGCCCATTTCATGTCCACACAAGGTAGAGAACTTGAACGTCTTTCTGTTCCAAGGCTTTCCCCCAAGACTCTGGGCCAGTTGTCCCTGAAGACTTATCTCTGCCACTTGCCACTCCTATGTGTGCAAAGCGTGTCCCTAAGGAACCAGCCACTCATTCTGCTACCTCCCAGAAAAGCTCCACAGACAGGAATGACTGGGACGAGATCGGAAGCCGAGACAGCCATGCTGCAGTCCGCGTCTGCGCACGAGCTGGTGAGTCCTCTTCCCAGGACCGGTGGAGATGTGATCACGCCCAAGCACACCCTGAATTCAGCTGCGTGCACATCGCCAGTGCACAGCCATGTCGCATACCTCATCGAATGACTGATTCCAGCACCAGACAACGCGTCCTTACGCGGTTTTCACTTCCTGTCAATTGCAAGGCCCTCTGGCTGGTCCCGGTGCAGGGGCCTCCAGCTTGGGCGCGGCAGGCAGGAAGACCCAGAAGCTGCTCAGCCCCGTGCTGTGAGACGTGAGGCGCCTGCTCTCTAATACGTATGTGCTATGCACAGCCATATCATGTTCCGGCCAACAGTTAAAGGCCTTTTATACGTTTCTCTAGACTGTCGAACTCCACCCCTTCCATTAAAACGAATCATGCATCTCTGGGTTGTGGTTGATTTTCATCACGATTCTTTTCTTCCTCACAGGGAGGCAGGTGAAAGGAAACGAGAGGATGGATTCACGGTGCTGTTGGTTATTAAGGCAGGAAGAAGCCATTGGCCCGCTCAGTCCAGCTGCCTTATCTTACACATGGAGAATTTGGCCAGAGCGGGAAGAGACCCTGGGGGCCAGCATCCCTCTCCCTCCCACCCTAGTCAAAGCTAGATGTGCACATTCCTGTGACTATAGAAGTCATTCATTCATTCACCCATGGAAAAACGTTCGCTGCTCACCTGATCTCAGCCCTGTATTGGCCTAGGTCTAGGACGCAGGAGTGAACAAGGTTGACGCAGTCCCCAACCTCTCACAAATCTGTATTTGAAGTCACCCATGAACATGTCAGCATGAACATGTCACCCATGAACATGTCCAGAGGCCCCGGGTGGAACCTGGTGGTCCACATTTGTAACATGTACCCCCAGGTAGTTCTGACACCAAAAGGCACTGGTCTAGGCAGACAGCTGGAATCGCAGAACCTTGAGGTAGGGAGACACTATAAATGATCGAGTCTTCTAGAAGGTTAGAGGAAGAAGACTGAGAAACTGAAGTCGCTTCCCCAGTCTCACAGTGTCCTGAGGTCCCCACTCCCTGCTCACTTCCTCCTTTCTGAGCCTCTCATCGTCAGACCTGTCACCCCACACTTTCCTCTTCTACCT